ACCTCCTAAATCCAAGAGCAAATGCACTTATTTTAAGAAAAAAATACTTATCTAGATTTTTATTTTTTCCTGTGTATATTTCTCTGTAGTCGTTCATTTTAAATAAAAAGTCACCAGAGGGGTCTGAAAAGTTGTTAAATATAGCAACAAAGTATCTGATTTTGTAACCCAAATGTGTTAATGTGTGGAAATAAGACTCTTGGCACTAAAAGCTGAATAAATTACATAAGAATAAATGAAAAGGGAAGGTGTTCCAAATTAGGCCTCAACATACTACAAAATTTTAACTTTTTTCTATTAAAAACATTTATAGCTTGTTATTTAATACCATCAGGGGGCTCTCATGTGACAGTACCTTAGTTACCACTGTTTGACAATGAGTGATCTATATTATTTTAGCCCAGGGTTAAATGTTAAATAAAACAAGAGTAAATAGATTAACCTTAACCCTTTATGGGGCACTCAGTAAATACTTTGAAAATCAAAATTTCAAGCCAGGAGTGTTATTGGAATCCAGGAAAACACCTTATTACCTTCGTAACGTTAAAAAAATACGGATATTTTGATGGCAAAAATTAATGTAATAACAAGAAACACCAACTTACCCAAATATATTAAGAAATCAAAAAGTGCTTCTATAAGAAATTCATGAAAAACACTCTGAGAGTGAAAGGAACACATTTTTTTGGGGGGTCCAACATAACTTTGATACTGACACCTAAATGTTTTAGTTTATAAACCTAAATATAATTGTTAACTAGGCTTGTTAACTTTTTAACTTAATTTCTTAACTTTTCAATTAGCTTTTTACCTTTTTTTCTTGACTAGTTAACTTTTTTCCTCTTAATTTCCAGTTGGTAACATCATTCAAGGACTCATCTAATTGGTCAAATGCCAAAATCAGATGTACAGCCATGTAGCAGGATGTTTGCTGAATGGCTCGATATAGATCTTATGCTTCTAGACCCTGAGGGATGGGGGTGGGGGGTGGGGGTTTAAGGCTGTCCACATTCAGCACACAATCTAGAGTTTCTTTCCTACCCAAAATATTGCTAACCACACAAAAGGTTAATAAAGAGAAGCTGGGAGCTTCAATTAGCCCATTTCCTTCCAGGGGTCACTAACCTGTGGATCCGGAGCATCATGTGGTTCTTTTAACTAACCACAGTGGCTGCGTCAGCGAGAAAAAACACTCAGAAGGAAGTGAATCATTTTAGTAACAGAAAAAAAAACATGTAACTTTAGGATAAAGCAATATTTCCCTACAAACATTAAAAAGAAAGAATGTTCTTGGGGTCTGTTTCAGGGCCCGGGTCCCTCAGCGGGCTCAAAGAAAAACCTTTTTTTCTTTCTTAAAGTTGCAAACAAGTGGTAAAGACTCCATTTAATAATAATTAAACTTTATTGATCTCAGATTGGAGAAATTTACCTCTGTATTTAACCCCTCCCCTTGGGGAGCAGTGGGCTGCCATTGTGCGGCGCCCGGGGAGCAGTGTGGGGTTAAGGGTCTTGCTCAGACCAGAGTGGCAGTCTGTGGGAGTGGGGCTCGAACTCAGAACCTCAGGATTCCAAGCCCTATGCCCTGACCACTAGTCACTCCCCCTAATTCATTTGTTACATTTTGTTTTGTAAAAATAATCAAAAGTAATATATTAATATTAATAATAATTATCATGAAGCTTCTCTAGCTGAGTTTCTTTTTCAAAGGTTAGTTCTTCTGACTTCTTACCATTTTCTGTCCTTTTTACAGAGCCTTGTCAATTAGTAGTTCTGGAGGAGTGTCACAAGCTGGGCCCCATAGAATGGACCGGGTAAATGATGCCGCCAATGCCATGCTGATGGGATATATTTATTATGCTTATAATCTCACTTTCTTAAGGCCTGTTTTTTTTTTAATTAGTAAATATTGTTGCACATATATGTAATGAAAGCAGCCAGAAAAAAGTTATATTACAAGTTTTTTTTTTTATTTTTTTTTTTTTATTTTTTTTT